ACAGCACTCAGGATCGCGCTGTGTCCCGACACGGGTGCTCCATTCCCGCCGCCATTTTCCGTCTCTCCTCAATGGGCCTTCTTCTAGTAAGCCCTGGCTCTGTAATAGCCAGCTCTGGGACACCAAAGGGTCATCACTTTACTGGGAAGCCCCTCCACTTGTGTGCCAAGGAAAGATGTCAAAATGAAGGGAAAGCCAAGGTGGGACAATTAGGAAAAGAAATCATAATTCAGTCACGGGCTGGAATAGCTTTACCGAGCCACGTATGACAGCTTTCACCACATCACAAGCTGAAACAAACTGCCTGACCCATTGGCTCACTTGGGATTCCAAGTTTCCACTGAAGGTGACTTTGGCAAGTGTAACTAACAGCACCTCTCTCCTCTTGTCCTGTTTCACACTCTCATTTGTAACCAGACCTGACATTTTTTCCTCCATATTCATTATGATAAAATAATTCCAACACGTGGGCTAAATCCTGTGCTCAAGATCCATGATGTCATTTCCAGCTCTGCGTGGCCTCATTTAGAACCTACCCCACTGAGCGGTGAAGTGGGGAGAGGCTCATGGAAAACTCAGGATTTAGCCTGAGCACCAGAAGCAGAGCGCTTACGCTACAAAGGCAGCCAACAGCCAGTGAAGTAAAAAAGCAGGATGAAATAAGAAAAATAAGTTGGTTTGGATGAGCTCCACCCAAAACAAGTTTCTGCCCACCTGAAAGCCAATTTACCAAGCTGGCATCCTGATCACTATACAAGCTATATATTTTTTTTCATGTGACATAGAGCAATTATGGTTTCTTCTTAACTGAGAGGGATAATATAATTTCCTAGTCTCCAAGTGTGGTCTTCACAACCAGTTAGGATGGCATGGCATGAGGCCCACCCTACCATGCTTTTGTGAACCTGGGGGGAAGTTAATAGCCACAAGCTGTTTCACTGCTTTCTATCCCATGAGTACTAAAATTATTTGTGGGTTTGGTTTTTAAGGCAAGTGGCCCTGGGCATACTGTCAATGCTCTGTAGGACAAATTACTGAACATGCCAGTAATCACAGTGATGGGCATTCTACCAACAGCAACCCTTCCTCCCCACCAGATTTTTTGTTCATGTCCCAGACCCCCCAAGGGGGAGGAAATAAGATGTCCTTTGATTACATCAGTCCAACATGTCTGGCAGGGATTCAGCTGGCATCCTGGGAATGGGCAAGAATGGCAATGAGTAGGTACAGGGAGGCAAATGACAAAGTGAATAATGTTCTAACAATATATAGGAACCTCAGCTTATTTGGCTGCTCCTCACATACTGGCCCAAGACCAGAAAATGCGTGCATGAGCATTTTCTGCATGTGCTACACCAGGTAGTTCACTTTCTCTTTTTGCATGAGCAAGAAATGTGAGCAGATGAAGCATGAAGCCAAGAGAAGGAGCTTTGTTTTGGATTTTTCCCCACTTCCTCTTCTGATTAACCTACAGGTTAGAATTTCAAAGTTAGGAGTGACTTTAGAGATCCATTTATATCTTGTCAGCATCTTTCTTCTTTGTATGTTTCTGACTTCTCTTCTGTTTGCCATTAGGCTGAGAACTCAAAGGTACAGTTCCTACACACCTTGTTACCCAGGAGAATTCATGGAAATACTCTTCCCTAAAAGCCAACCAGAATTTTCTACACTTGGTTCTAGAAAAGGACCTTTACTCAAACAACAGTGTCTTATATGGAATGGACATAATTCCCCCAAAAGAATGAATTAGAATTCTTAATGGAAAATTCTTGGACGGGGATTGTTCTCCAGAGAAAATCCTAGCTACTAATCATAATTTTCATCATAATTTGTTGTCACCAAAAATATCTACTGAGCATCTATTCTGAGTTTTGCACTGTGCTAGGTATTAAAAAAGAGAGTTACCTGTAACAATCAGGTGAAAGTCCATGGTCTCCGTTTGCAGAGTTGAAATTGCAATACAGTTGTAGGTTCCGTTGTCAGATTTTTCGACTTTGGTGATTGACAGCTGAAAAGACTCACTCGTCTGTTGGATTTCGTGACGATCTTTCTCTAAATTCAGGATGTTACTGTTCTTATACCACATCATTAGAGCCTGGGGGTTGGATTTCACATTGCAAAGCAACTTCACGTTACTGCCTTCCTCAACTGTTTGAAGGTCGTTTCCACTTAGGAGAGGAGGAACTGTAAGACTCAAGCATTTAGGTAACATTAGCAGATAAGCAGTAGATCATATGTCTCAAAGTCAGAGTCATGACTTACCACTTTGAGACAGTTACTTAACAGCTACGGCCTCAGTTTCCTCAACCAAAAGATGGGATAATAACACCTACCTCATGAGTGGCTGTGAAGATTAAATGAGATAATCTCTGTTAAGAATTTACCGTAGTGCTAGCTATTATTGTGGTGCTGGTCGTGGTTTGGGGAGCTACTTGCATGCTCTATTTTTGCATTTTATCTAAGTTCATCTGCCCTGACCATGTATTTACCAATGCAAATTTATATTTCCTCAGTGATCTTCTAGAAATAATGTCTTCCTCCCACGAGGTGTTCTAATTGTGGCAACTCTGGCATCTGTGGAAGGTGGGAAATTCCCTCTCATCCCTCTGTGTAAGCAACTCCTTATTCCCTCCACAATAAGGACAGTTGTAGACCTATAGATAGTCAAACTAGATAGTCACATTATTCATCTTCACCAAATAATTCCAACCCTCACTCTCCACCAAGGCTTTCCCACATCTAGGGGGAGAAATGGCTGAGCTGACTTTCTCCTCTACTCCATGCCCCTTGCATTTTCTGGCAAAGGTGAAGAAGAGTAATTAAATGTTTGAAGAGTGGGAAGTAGGAAAGAGGTAGAGGCAGAGAAAGAAGAAAAAAGGAGCTTGTGTAATGTGCACACTGAATAATTAGACCCTGAGTAGGCTGTGCTATTAATAACTCTCTCAGAAGAATGACATTTTGTTGCTCTTTGGAATGAGCTTAAATTCCGTATCCATATCCAACAAGGATGTTATGTGGTATTCAGATATGTAGGGAGTTGCTAGAATAGAGAACATAATTGCCAAGTAGAACAATCCTACTTGTGGATAGATCCTGTTAGTTATTCCTTTTTATGTAACTATGTAAAATTATTTTAAACATATAAACTGTATATGACTATCCCCCTTTAAACAAATAGTACATTTCAGATAAAGGTAAAGACTTCTTTGACTCCAGTCTGGTCATTTTCTGACTCCCCAGAGATTCCCACTGCTATGAATTTGATGAAAATTCTTCCGGATCTTTTTTTTAAAAATAGCTTTTTAAACATATAATGTACCCACAGGAAATATATTATTCATTGTTTTAGGAGCACAGGAAGGGTTTACATAAAAGACCTCATTCTCTCAATAACATGCATGATTTTGAGATATACCCATATTGAACCACAGAGATCTAGCTCATTGCTTATAGAGAACTATAGTATAATATATGACTCTAATCGTTTCAGTTTAATGGGCATTAGGTTGTCTTCATTTTAAATGTTAAACTGTGCTACAATAAACATCCCTGTACATGTCTCTCTATGCACGTATGCTTTGTTTCTCCAAGGTTAACATCTAGAAGGAGAAACGCTGGGTCGTAGGATAGGCACATTTTAAATTTTGATAAATATTGCAAAAGAGGTGGTCTCGATTTATACTTTCAGCAATGATGTATGAGAGAACCTGTTTCTCCACACCCTCCTCCAAACAGTATACCATCAAGCTTCCATTTAGTTCTTTATCTGCTATTTACGACACTTATAATACTTCCTCTGGATTGTACATGATATTCTTGACACTTTTTATAAGCTCATTTTGATATATTGATTGATGAGTTTGTGTCAGTTATTGTCAGTATGAATCACTGACCAACTGGTTTTATATATATATATATATATATATATATATATATACCCACACACTCTTGGCAGCAATATTTAGGAGGTTGCAATGAACATTATTTTAAAAGTGAATTGAGTCTAGAAAACAAAATAATTTCTTTAAGCCACCAAATCATATTTTTGGCATTTCTGCCATGTCTCTCTTAAGAAGGTCCTGTGGGGGACTGGCTGGTTAGTTCACTTGGTTAGGGCAAGGTGTTGGTAACATCAAGGTCAAGGGTTTAGATCCCACACGAGCAAACCACCAAAAAAAAAAAAAAAAGTACCGTAGGAAAAGCACTAAATTAGGATCCTGGGATTTGTGTTCTCTTCCCAGTTCCAGCTGTGATTTGGGCCTCATTTTCCTCATCTGTCATTTTATAAGACTGGATTACAAGAACTCCAGGGTCCTCTGATAGTCTTATATTCTATCAAAGCAGCAGACAGCTAGCTTGCTAAAAATCACATTTTATTGATTGATTGAAAATGAAAAACAAAGCTTCTGTGCTTGGGGACATGCAAGTGATTCACTCTAGAAAAGCAAGCTGCAGAATGCCAGCATTTTCCAGAGCTGGGTTCCTCAGCATTTTCTCCACGCCTGTATGTCAGGAGCAATGGCACCAATTTTTCACAGAAAAATTGGCTGAGCTCATTTGGGTCAAATGGTTTTAACTTTCAGTACTAGGTTCCAAGTCAATACCACACCATCATCCTATTTGTATCACTTCTCACCAATCACCCACACCTCCCTCATGCAGAGCCTGCTTTCCACCTGAACAACCCACATGGTCACCTACATGGTATCATTTGAAGGTCCTCTAACCTTATATAGCTCCACCCATGGGTTACCAATACCCGGAACCCAACCATTGAAGAGCTTCACCTTTTGGGGCTTTAAGGTGATGTGAAAAGATCCCCAGTGGAGGTCTTTCTAAGTAGAGCACAAAAAGCGAGACACCACAAAGGAAAATATGGGTACTTAAAAATATATAAACATCTCAAATTTAATACGGCAAAAAATAGCTATAAGAATTTTCAGAAATAAATAGGAGAAATACTTACAATCCAAAATGACAAAAGGCTAATTTTCTTAATTTATGAAGCCCTTGTACAAATTAAGGCAAATAACGCAATAGAAAAAATGATTGAAGGTGGAGCAGGCATTTCACAGAGAAGAAACATAAATAGCCAAACATTTATGAAAAGGTGAACACCTTCATTCTTAATTTAAAAAATGAAAATGAAATTTCAAATTAGGCTGTCAAATTCTTAGAGTCTGAGGATACTCAGTGCTTGGGAGGGTGTGGGAAAATAGGAGATCTCATGCTTTCTTGTGGGAATATAAATTGGGCAATTTGGCAATATCGAGATCTAGATTTCAGCTACCACTTAATGCAATGCAGGCATTACAGACTGACTAGCAGTTTCTTTTCCCCTCACTCACATGTAACATTCAGCACAACTGAGATGGACACCGTCTGATCCCTCTTCAGCTTGCAGGTGAAGCTGACTCCATCGTCATCTTCACTGATGGGATAGACACAGACAGAGCTGGAGTTGATTTTGTTTTCAGAGTTCAAATCCACGCTCTGCTCTTCTCGGTACCAGAGAAGTTCTTCATTACTGGTGTGGTTTTCAACAGCACATGTCAGAGATTCATGCGAGCCTCTCTGGGTGTCCAGAGTATAGTTTTCAGTGTTACCATTCACAGTTAAAACAGAACCTGGGAGTATAGAAAGAAACTATTAAGATACACAGAGTGAACAACCTAGATATCCATCAATAGGGGATCAGTTAAATAAATTATTTTACATTGGTCCAACAAAATATACTCTCAACAATTAGAAATAGTCATATTGATCTATATGATATTACAAGGCAAAAGAGTCACAAATGATTATAAACTGAAAAAAGAAAGAGTTTAAAATGGTAGTTACCAAATTTTTCTGTACATTGGAATCACTTGGGGAGCTTTTTAAAAGTACTGATGGGTGGCTCTCATCCCCAGACATCTGTGTAATCGACATGAGTGCAACCTGGGCATTGGATATTTTTACAAAAACCCAGATGATTCTAACATGCAGTGAAGTTTGAGAACAACTGGGTTAGAAGCTGGTATGTACAAAATGATTTTACATATATACAAGGGTACTTCGTGGAAAATTGAATTAAAAGATAATACAAATCCTTCCATGAACTTTTTGAAGGCCCTTCATATATAATCATTCATATATATGTGTATGTATGTATCTATGTATGTATGTGGGTGTGTGTATGTATATATATATATATATTTTTTTTTCGTTAATGGGGAAAAGTCTTGGGAAAAAATCCTATATACATTGAATAAGATTGATAAAAATAGAGAAAAGTGGAAAAATACTTATCAGACTTAATTTGTTTATTTAAGGGGTTGAAAGTAGCAAAGCAAGGGAGTGGAAATGGGGAAATAAAAAGGAAAGGACTATAACAAAATGGAAAGATATTTAAGATATGAACCCTAGCAGAAAAGACAGAATATAAATTACAGCTCCAATAATTCCTCCAATAATTCCAATAATTTGTATCTGAATTTGATACAAAATTCAATGTATCAAAATTGAATATGTATCTGGGCAAAAACTAATCTGAAAACAGTTTTCAGATTAGATGATAGGATTATGGACAAATTGGGTCTTTCATTTCTGATGTTTTAATACTGTTTTGGCAGTGTAGTAAAATAAAAATATATTTAAATAGTTGTGGTTTGTGGAGTAGACAAGTTTTTGTGGGATAGGTGATCAGGATATATAGCAGTTTATTTTTCAGCTTTGGTATTTAGGAATCCATTCATTGTATAGTAATATATCTGAATTTCAATTTTTATTTTCCTGGTTCAGAAGTAAGTAACAAAAAGTAAAAAGAACTTTAGCTGCCACAAACTCCCAGATAACATTTCTTAATATATTCTGTAAACACATTAATTTTTTGTTTAAAAAGCATAAGCTACTGGTAAAGATAATGGGATTGCTGCCTAGTGTTTTTTTTTTAATCTGGAAGACTATACACCAAAATGTTGAGTGGTTATCTCTGGATGATGGAATTTGAGGGGATTTTTAGTTTTCTTTTTTCTTACGTGGATTGCCTAATTTATTTCACAATGACTATGTATTATTTTTTTAAGTCAGGGAAGGAGGGTGGAAGCTACTTCCAGATGGAGGTGGGGAGCGAATATAAGAAAGTTTTTGTGTAAGTGGTATGTTCAATTAAACAAGATTATTTTGGGTAAGATTAGTAATGAAATGCTAATTAAGATGTAGGAAAATTCTGGCTGTGGCTCTGGAGAGAATACAGTGCTTCACCTTGGTCTTGTCATATCAGAACCATAAAAACAATATTTTTTCACTTTTATTATGTTATCTGACTCCTATATTCTGAGCCATACCAACTATATAGTCATTCTAATTTGAAATTTAAGGAGGTACCCAATGCCCATTGATCATTTTTTAATCTGAAATTATTCTTTATCTAAAAAGAGGCCAAAAGACTTACTTGTCATCTCATGTGGCAGAAATAAAATCACTAAGAGAAGAAATCTGCACATTTGCATTATACCAATGCTCTTCCATGCCATCTTTAATAAATTCATCAGATCTGCCAGGGGAAAAAGAATGCAGTTGGTTCTGTACTTTGGTCTACAATCAATTTATAAACCTTCCCCGTATTATGCACTTAAAATAAAGTCCCAGATGAGTCATCCCAGCTCTAACGGTACTACCTCTAGTTTTTAATTAAACAAACGTGTTCTAAGTTCAAAGTACTTTTAGTATTAAGGACTTTTTCTTTAAGGCAACAAGAAGAAAACCACAAGGAAATAGGCTATAAGATATAGGGCTGCTTTAGAGCATCCCTGGGAAGATAAAACAACTCTTCCTTACAGAAATTGATGGAATGTTATTTTAACAGAAGGAGAAATGAAACTTGCTTTATTCTCAGATGATCCTTACTGAACAAAGTAATTCTTGTTTTAAAAGCCTCTCTTAGGGCCGGCCCGGTGGCGCACTGCTACAGTGCGCCGCTTGGGAGCACGGTGGCGCTCCCACCGAGGGTTCGGATCCCACATACAGACCGGTTCCCGCTCACTGGCTGAGCGAGGTGTGGGAGCAACACCGAGGGTTGCGATCCCGTTGCCGGTCCCGGTCCGGTACGGGCGCGACACTGAGGGTTGCGGTCCATTGCCGGACACGAGAAAAGACAAAAAAGGAAAAAAAATAAATAAAATAAATAAAAGCCTCTCTTAGGTCATTTTTGTAAAGTTGTTCTCTGATGATAATAATAGAGACTATTCCAAATCCCATAGATTTAAATGTGTGTGTTTAGAAAAGACTCAATCAAAACATGGCCTCTAGTTTTAAACCATGTTAAACTCTGCTTTCCCCTACCCCTCTATCAATCTCCCCTTTATAATTCTCCTTCCCCCGACCCAGTATGGGCTAAAAATAATAGATAATAAAGGCCTCTTTTCTCTCTTTTTCTGTGCTTTTGTTCCTACCATCTCTGTCCCCAAGATATTCTCCACTTGCATCTGAGAAAAACATACATCCATTATCTTCTTTCAAGAGTACTACTATGAATATAGTAGAAGCACATACGGAATGCTTTTTGTGCAACAGGCACTGTGCTGAACACTTTACACACATTATTTCAATCACAATTAAGCCTCACACCACCTTTGAGGTTTAGAGAAATTATGTAATTTGCCCAAGATCCCAAAGACGGTAAATGTCAGAGTTAGGATTTGAACTCAGTATTCCCAAGAGCACTCTTTTAACCACCCTACTGCCTAGATTAATATTCACACCCTTTAAGAAGTTGTTGTTAATCCCTTCCAGTCCCTGGCCACTCTATGGACCTGAGTAACTTGGAGTTTTGTCCCCTTAGCTCAAGTATTAGCTTTCAAGAGCTGGAACATACCTAGGACTTCTGTGGGCCTGCTCAACTCCTCCCCTGTCCCAGGCCTGTCTTGACAGGAGCAAGTGTCATTCCTGCCAGGCTCACCCTTTTTGGCTGGCAAGCTTGTATCAATCTTTTAATAAGATGCAATTAAATAAGTACTAATATTGATTCTTTTGTAATTTTAAATTTTTTCTAAAAAGATTTCAATCACAGTGTTGCAACAGTGATGATTTCAGAATTCATTAATAGAGTTTTCTCAAGAACTCTCCACTGTAGGTGCTCAATGAAAACATTGAGTGTGGGCTTCTTGGCAGACCTGATCCCATCCAATCAAGGGGGAGAATTAATGTCTTCTCTTTCCTTCCCCGCCACCAAGATAGCAACTTTTTAAAGTAAATTTCCCTCATTTGACCCATTTTTAATTTTCATAACTATCTACTTTCTATATGGGACAGTCTGACCACTTACCTGCTGAGCTCTAAAAAGCTGACTTCTTGGGCCTGTTCTTCTGTCTGGGAATCATGAATTCTTTCCCTGTTACTATCCTTTATAATACTTGAATTTGAACACTTTATGACAGTAGGATCAAGTAAAGAAGATAGATTGGGTTCAAAGTCTGTTTCTCTTTATGGATTCTTAGAGAAGACAGTAATTGGGAAAGACATCCTCTTAAGGTCTAAGTTTTTATGTGTACCTAGGTTACTAGGTGGGGCCAGATATTACTAACAAGGATGTATTATTCCAAGAAAGCCTGAACTTGTGTAAAAATTTGTAGCATATCTCACTGAACATTGTCATATTCAAGTTAGATGACTGTGCTTTGGTAATCTGAGAGCCTGGGGACTTGACTTGCACTGGAAGATTCCACACAACTCAAGTAATGCTGGAAAAGTATTACTCACCACTAGTAACCCAAGACTCTTACCTTGCATTAAACATTCAAGAATTAGCAATTGGGGATAACTTTTTTTTAATTGGTAAAAAATACATATATTTATGGCATTGTTAATAATACAAATTTTATGTGCCAAGTGCTATTGTTCTCATTTAAACAAAAAAAAGAACAATATTTACATGTTTTTTTTTTTTTTTTTTTTTGTCTTTTGTCTTTCTTCCGTGTCCGGCAACGGATCACAACCCTCAGTGTCGCCCCCGTACCAGACCGGGGACCAGCAACAGGATTGCAAGCCTCGGTGTTGCTCCCACGCCTCGCTCAGCCAGTGAGCAGGAACCGGTCTGTATGTGGGATCCGACCCCTCGGACGGGAGCGCCGCCGAGCTTCCCAAGCGGCGCACTATCCAGTGCGCCACCGGGCCGGCCCCTATCCCCATGTTTTAACACATTAGTAAAGCACACCAGAGATCTGCCTCTTACTACCTGTGTGACTTTGAAAAGTTATTTCACCTTTATGAGCCTCAGGTTCTTCATCAATACAATGGGAATAATAATACTACTCTCCCTACAGAGTCACTGTGAGGATGAAATGAAGCATGTAAAGCTGCCACACAGTATGCTCTTAGTAACCACAGCTATTATTAGTAGTATTAATATAGCCTGGATAAGGCATAATAAATACACATAGCCTCAAGATAGCATTTTTTTCAAGTAAGCATCATAACCAAGAGCGGTTTCTATTGGCTGGGTTACAAGCACCACCTAATCAGGTTTTGAGTTTGCTTCTCTATGGACCCCAAAGCGATGTGTTTTATGATTATCATTTTTAAACAAGTTTAGCAATGGACTGTTGTCTTGTTCTGGGTCCATCCAAAACAAACCCTGAGACAAAGCTTTGGGTGCAAGTAGTTTATTTAAATGTGGTTTAGGAAGTACAGTAAGGAAGTGAGATAGGGAAGGGAGGAAAACTAACAAAGGAATGTTAATGAACAGGTCACTGCTGCAGGCCACTGTCACTGCGGATTCTTTCAACTTTTACAGCAAGTTTCTGTGGAATACATGTCAGAATCAACTCGTGATGGGGGAAAAGCTTGGGTATTTATCCACCAACTTCTCTCCATCATTGGCTGAGGTGTTGACTCCCTAGCACCTCCAGCCTGTGCTGTGAGGGTGGAGTGTGTCTCTCAAACCAGCCAAGAATGTCTGGGCAAAGACACCTAGGAAGTCACGTACTAACTGGGAACTTTTTGCAGGTAACCTCTAGGTAGGCCAAGGGCATGTGGGTAGGGCACCAACAGCAATTTCTATAACTGCATATTAGTTGATATTAGGAAATAATGGTTAATTATTCTTAGGCGTGATAATGGTATTGCAGTTATGTAGGAGAATGTCCTCATTCTCAGGAGATGCCTGCTGAGATATTTATGGGTTAAGTGTCATGATGATTGCAGCTAACTTTCAAATGACTCAGCAAAAATAAATAAATACACACACACAAACACATATACACAAATACAGTTGGCCCTCCATATCCATGGGTTCCACAGCCCATGGATTCAGTCTCAGATCAAAAATATCCATCATGGTCAACAACAGCACCTTCAAAAAAAGAATATTCAGGGAAAAAATTGCATCTTTACTAAACATTACAGGCTTTTTTTTTTGTCATTATTCCATAAACAATACAGTATAACAATTATTTACAAAGCATTTACATTGTATTAGGTATTATAAGTAATCTAGAGATGATTTAAGTATATGGAAGTTATATGCAAATAGTATCCCATTTGATATCAGGGACTTCAGCATCCTCAGATTTTGGTGTCCACGGGAGGTCCTGGAACCAATTCCCCACAGATGCTGAGGAATGACAACACAGCCAATGGTGACATTTGCTGAATCTAGACAGGGGTATATAGATCTTCATTGTACTATTCTTTCGACTTTTTGTGTGTTTGACATTTTTCATGATTAAAATGTTGGGAAAATGTATTTAGCAGATATTTACTGAGGATCTACTATGTGCTGAGTATTCTAAGTATTGGGGATGCCAATCCTACCCAAGCCAATATGGTGGCTTTGTCATGAATTAGGAAAAGATGGCTTCTCACGTCACTCTACTGCCATCTGTGGAAAATTGTTGTAATAACTCGACAAAGGTATGATGTCTACAAAATGAATGGTGCTACCTGATCTCCACAACATTAACTGGGTACCCTGGGAGATATGTAGATGAGTCAAACAAAGCTCTAGGCCTTCTGGGATCTTCCATTCTAGAATGGAAAGTTAAAGATGTTCAGGAGCCACACAGAATGCCCTTAGGTGTTGAGGAGGGATTTCAGATAAGAAAAATGGTATCATGGCACCCCTTCTGGAGTGTCAGCGAAGTGTTGTGACTTGTCTAAGGTCATATAAATCCCTGGAACATTCTTTCCTAGAACTGACAGAGGGGAGAAGTTGTTTTTCTATAAGTAATTAAGCCATTAAGCCATTTTTCCATAGGTAATTTAGTTAACCATTAAGCCTAAGTAGCTTGCTGGTTTGAAGTATTAACAGAGTCCAATACTCCACAGATTTCCCAAGTAGCTTGGGCTCAGAAGGAAAGAGGAGAGGCAGGCTTGAGTCTGAAAATTCCTGGGAGTAGAGACCAATCTGTTCCACATTCCCAGGCCTATCACCTTCAGGAAAGGTAATAAAGAAGGGAATCCAGGAGCCAGCGGCCGTGCCTTTCTGATTAGGGTGAGTATAAGAATCACCTGGAGGAGTCTCCTGGCACCTTTCCTTCATCAGTTCTGGTGAGACTGAAGAATCTCATTTCTAACAAGCCTCCCGGGTAACTCTGATGCAGTGGTTTGTGAATCTTACCTTGAGAACCAGACTATGGGACTAGGTGTTGACCAAGGTGGTAAAGGTGAAAGGCCCTCAGCTAGGGGGAAGTATCTAGCACAGCACCAGGGCATGGTGGATACTCAAGAAACATTAGCCAAAGGAAGAAAGAAATGGAGGGGGGAGGATGCCCACTCTGAGATAAGTTAGAGATGCAAGTTGGGTGCCCCACCCGGGACGGGGATGTGCACACAGGGCTCCCCTGTGAGAGACTGGCCCTGCAGGTGCCCAGGCCTCATAGTACTTTCTGTCATTTGACAGTGAAGAACAGGAGACAGAAACAAGCAACCAGCATGCAGGAGAGGCCTGAGGGGCAGTGCTGCTGACTGCTGAACAGTGCCATCCCCACAGGCCTTCGAAGCCACAGCCTTCATATCCTTGTAACCAGACTTGATGTGATGGAGACAGCAACTCAGCAAATGGCCAGAGGGTCGCAGGTTGCAGGCCAACAGGGTCATCCTGCCAGGACACTGGGAATGCCATTGAAGGTTTTAGGGTGACAGAAATTCTAGAAACCCGGCAGTCACAGCCTAGCAATGATAGAATGGTTCTTTGACCAATGCAGGGACCCAATGTGTTCCCTTTTCCATCCAGAATCCAACACAGCAGTGGCATCCGTTAAACTGCTTAAATTGTTCATGGGACTTGAATTTCCAGCCTAAACAGTGACCAACGGTGCTCTCTAACTTACCATACCCCACATTAGGATTCCTCCATCACCAAAAATCTTAGACCTTAAAGCAAGACTTGAAAGGCCACCTGTCTACGGTTACCAGATTTAGCAAATAAAAATTTAAATTTCAGGTAAATAATGAATGCTTATTTTGTATAATTATGTCCTGTGCAACTACTATGTGCTAATTCATCAAAAAGCCAATATTTAGTACATACCGATATTTTTTTTTAAATCATTGCTTCTCTGAAATTCAAATTTAGTTAGGCATTTTGTCTTTTATATGGCAATTCTACATCTGCCTAGCCCTTGCTTTTGTTAACAGGTGAGGAAATGAAGTTCAGAGAGGTAAAGGGACGTGTCCAAAGTGACACAACTATTTAGTGGCAGATCAGGGATCAGAATCCATTCAAGATTCCTTACTGCCACACTGCATCCTTTTCCAAATGTCTTACATCAGAGTTTCTCAATTTGGCTTCTTGAACCACTATGGACAAGCTTTGGAGTGTCAGTGAAACTGCTGAAATCATAGGCAAAAATATGTGTGTGTGTATATGTGTGTGTGCACACACATATGTGTGTTTTTCTGGGGAGAAGATCTCACCTTAGCCAGAATGGACTAAGACACCATCCTACCCTCCACAACCTACCTATATCAAAACCCAAAATTCCTCTGATCTATCCTATATTCTCTTCCCTTCTTTGCCCTCTGTGAATTTTTAATTTGAGTGGAGGAGTAAGAAAGTTTTACTGAGTACCTCTTGCATGCCAAGCCCTTTACACATGCTTTATCATTCAATCCTCATATCCACTTACAAGGTACCTCTGATTACCACCAATTTACAGGTGAGGAAACTCAGGTAGTAACCCAAGTTACCCAGGGTGAAGATGATAAAAGTAAGACAATAACCCAAGTGCAAATGCTCCCCCAAAACGGTGCCCTTTCCCCCGAAGCCCCCTGCCTCCAGACTGACAGCAAGTGGGAAACTGTATTGATGGGTTTTTATTTCCCCAGATTACTACCCCCTTGGAACTAACAACCCAGAGTTGACAGGCCA